CCCCAAAACCCCAAAACCCCAAAACCCCAAAACCCCAAAACCCCTTTATAAACAACAGAAGCTGAGACTTTCTTATATTTAATAATAAATTAACCTAAATGGAAGACACCAAAAATAATGATGAGTTATCTTCGATAAAGCAAGAGGAAGACCCTGTGCAGAATGACGGACCCCCTCCAAAAGCAAGCCTGATGGACCTCTACCAGTATTTGACTGGCGCATACAAAACACTGTTCTTTGTTGGATGAATTTCAGCTTTTGTTGGAGGTGAGACATCTTTAAGACTTTTTGATATTAGATTTCAGATCAATATGTTAATTTAGAGATTTCTGGTTTATATGAGCAATCACTATTATTTTCAAGCCTATTTAATAGAAGCCCTCGTTTGCTACGAGAAAATCTCGCTTAGACAGTTGGTCTCCGAGCTAAAGAAATTTTCCCCCCTTTAAGTGTTTCAGTTTGATATCTAATAATAGATCAATATCTAAATTTCACTATGAGTGGTGATGGTTACTAGCATCTCTTAAGAGATATGATCACCCATTGTTAATATTTTGAGCAGGAGATCTCCTTGCTTGCTTTCCTCCTCTAAGTCTTAGCTAGAGCACCTTACTAACTGACATATATAGGGTTCAACTTTCCTGTCTGCACTTATATAATTCAGAGAAACTTTGACAAAATGGGAGGAGACGATATGGATTATATTCATGGTAAGCTCGACTTCTTTCATCCTAATACCTTCTTCCTCTTTACTGTGCTAACATGCTGGATAGATAAAATGATTGACAACTCTTGGCTATTTATGGGAGTTGCTGGAGCATCTTTTTTCCTAAACTTTATTCAGTACACATGCTTCACTCTGATTGGGCAAAAGATAAACTTTGAATTAAGGTAAAATATCCATTTTGAATTTTTAGGTGGAGATATTTAAGAGCTCTTCTCAGACAGGACAATATGTGGTATGATAACCAAAACATTGAAGGCATTCCATCTACTTTTCATAAAAATATGAAAGAAATCGAATCTGGACTTGGAAGATGAGTCGGATTCATCATATATGCTTTTGGATCATACTTTTGTGGAATAGCAATAACTTTTTCAATTGCATGGATTTTCTTGTTCACTCTCTTTTCAATTGTTGTTTACTCAACAATATTGTATCTCTTCGTGGAATCTACTCTAAATAGTGTCCAAAAGATCATCGAGTCTACCTTTAAAAAGGGAGGTGCCCAGGCAGAAGAATCTTTTAATGCTATTAAGGTCATCAAAGCCTTCAGACAAGAAAAGAACTGTTCGAATGAATTTCTTATGCATCTGGAGAAGAACAACAGTAAAATAATGGGCAAATCTTGGAGTTATGGAGCAGCATTTGCTCTGCTTGAGACAATAACCTACCATTTCATTTGCTATGCATTTGTGATTGGAGGTTTCTTTATTTCAGAGAAGGTAAATTTTTAGCTTATTTTTAGGTCAATAACTCATTCCCAGGAGAGTCATATACTGGAGGAGATATATTTTCTTGTATTTGCTTTTTATGTGGCAATTACTTCTTTTGCAATTCTATGAGAAATATGCTCCTTTTCAGTAAAGGAAGAGAGGCAGCTTATCCAATTATTGAACTGATAAAAAGAGTCCCAAAAATTACTTTAGATGATGAAACTGCTTCGGATATTAATGGGATATCAGAAGGCATTAAGTTCAATAATGTTTCATTTAAGTACCCTAAAACTTCAAGAAATGTGCTGAATGGAGTTACGATTGATGTCAAAAAGGGTCAAACACTTGGAGTTATTGGACCATCTGGATCAGGAAAATCAACAATTGCTAAGCTTTTAGAAAGATTCTATGATCCAAGTGGAGGCGAAATACTAATTGATGGACAAAACCTAAAGTCTATCAATTTAAGAAAGTATAGAAATTTAATTGGTTATGTTGGGCAAGAGCCTTGTCTTTTCAATGAAACTATTAGAGAAAATCTCCAGAACTCTAATCCAGAAGCAACTCAAGAAGATATCATCAGAGCTCTTCAAAATGCCCATGCATGGGAATTTGTTGAGCATCTTGATGGTGGTATTGATCATAGTGTTGGAGCTGTTGGAAGCAAACTATCAGGAGGGCAGAAGCAGAAAATAGCAATAGCTAGGGCATTAGTGAGAAATCCTCAAATATTAATTTTTGATGAAGCAACAAGTGCTCTTGATACTAAGAGTGAGATAAAAGTTCAAAAAGCAATAGACTCTATTCAAGGAGACTCTATCACTAAAATTGTTATTGCTCATAGACTCGCAACCATAAAGAAAGCAGAGAATATCATTGTCCTTAAGGATGGGAATATTGTCGAAGAAGGAGATCATGACAAACTCATTAGAATCAATGGAACCTATGCTAAAATGACCAAAATACAAGATAAAGCTAACAGAACAAAGGAAGCCCTACTATTAAAAGAAACGCAACCAATAGCTCATGACAATAACATTGAGCCTGATAGAGAGGAATTTGACGAGACTAAATCTCAGAAAGAGTCTTTAGTAAATGATCATAGAAGAGAAGATTGTAAAAAAGACGACTTAGAAGAATCTGAAGGAACTATATCAGTTTTAAAGCAAGTTTATGAATATGCCTCACCAAAGTGATTCATATTTTTAATGTTAATCGGAGCTACTCTTGTTGCTTTGACTTTGCTAACAATGCCATATCCTTTTTCTAAATTGTTGTATACCATTTTACAAGATGATAGTACTGGGGATGATATTAAGAAAGACATGGCCACCTACCTTCCAATTATTTTTGGAATGGGATTAATTGCAGCACTACTTCAATTTTTCACAAGAGCAATGCTTCATGTAGTCAATACCAATTTACTCCAAGGAGTTAGAAGATTTGTCTATGATCATATCATATATCAGCCGGTTCAGTTCTTTGATCATAGGGATCATAATACTGGAAACCTAACTGCTATCCTTTCATCAAGTACAAGAGAATTAAACGGTGCTGCAGTTGAGTTGTATTTATTCATTTTCCAATCATTTGCAAGTATGATTGGTGGAATAGTCTTTGGATTTATCTTTGAGTGGAATATAGGGTTGTTATTCTGATTAATCACCCCAATCTCATGAATTTCCATGGGTACAACCTTCGCTCTCCAATCTAGCTCTCAGAGTAGTTATAAAGAATCTATAAGTAAACAAGAAAAGATGATATCTGATTATATTTTGAACTATACTACTGTTTTATCTCTTGCAAACGAAGATACTATCGTATCTAGATACTTTTCCGAAGATAACTCAGAAGAAATCAGCTTCAAAGTTAAAAGAGAAAATCTTAACGAAGCTTTAGGTCCTGGCTTTGTGTACGGGTTTGGATTTTCGTTCTTTATTCTCTCTTTTTCCTTATTAGGCTTTGTGTCAGCTCATAATATTAAATCAGGTCATGATCCAGAAGACCAATTAAGAGGCACCTTGGGTTTCTTATTTGCATTTTTGTCAGTATCTTATCTCATGAGTAATCCTCCAGATTTTGGAAAGAGTCTTCAAGCTGTTAATAAGATATTTGGTCTTAACAAATATCCAATGGAAGGACACCCTGATTGCCCTGTTAAAAATGGGGAAGATGACTGAAATTCTGAAGAAATCACTGGAGTTATTGAGTTCCATAATATTTATTTCAAATACCCAAGCTCTAAGACGGATAACTGGATTTTAGAAAACTTCAACCTGAAGATAAATGAAGGAGAGAGTATTGGCTTTGTTGGAGAATCTGGATGTGGAAAGAGTACAATTACAGCCCTGCTTTTAAGATTTTATGAACCACAACTTGGATATATCACCATTGGAGGAAGAAAACTACAAGAGTTCACTTTATCCTCTGTCAGAGCTCACTTCGGGTTTGTTCAACAAGAGCCTATTTTGTTCAATACAACCATTATGGAAAATATCTTATTCGGAAAGCCCCATGCTACTTGCCAGGAGATTGAAAATGCAGCAAAAATAGCTAATTGAGATGAATTCATTCGAAGAAAAGATTTTCAAGGTCAACCTGATAAGGAAACTTTCACAGACAATGGAATTAAGAATGATGCTAGATACGAAAGCCTAGATGAAGGCTACAGAGTCATTTGTGGTTCCAAAGGTAGCAGACTTTCTGGAGGTCAGAAACAAAGAGTTGCGATCGCTCGTGCTATTATCAGTGACCCAAAGTTCCTGATCCTTGATGAAGCAACCTCAGCTTTAGATGAAAATTCTCAGAAAGAAGTTCAGGATGCACTAGATGAGATCATGACTCAAAGAACTTCTATAGTAATTGCCCATAGGCTAAGTACCCTTGATAAATGCAAGAGAATAGTAACTATAGAAAGAGGTATAATTGTCAAAGATGACTATACTAATCAAAGTTAAGTTAATTATTCAATGCTCCTGTTCTGCTATGGGGTTTTGGGGTTTTGGGGTTTTGGGGTTTTGGGGTTTTGGGGTTTTGGGG